CATAAAGTACACTAAAGCACCAGTAACAATATGCCAATACACTTAAATAATCATTGCATAAAGTGCACTAATGCCCAATAACGTAAAGTACACTAAAGCACTAGTAACAGTATGCCAATACACTCAAATAATCAATCCACAAAATATATTAAACCACTAAAAAATTAATAAAACGTTTAAATAACCGCACCATAAAACACACTAATATATCCGTATACACATACACAATCACTTAAAGAAACACACAGGTAAAATCACTGACAGTTGTAAAAGACAGTTAATAAACAAGTTAAGCATGCATGCAGTACTACATTACAAAAAGCAGTAATAAATTTGCAAATGTATATCAAAACGTATAGACACTCAGTGAAACATTATAAGAGGTACACTTATATATCCGTATATGCATGCAGGAAACACACCGGTAAAGTCACTGACACTTGTTGAATTACACCATAAAATTTATTAATACACCCGCATATTTATTAAAAAATATTTATTAAAGCACATTTAACACTTGTTAAAACACATTAGGTAATACAGGGACAAGCACAATATCGGTTAAGTGAACCCTTGACTCGTACCGGTAAGTGTTGACAGGTGCGATCCGACCTCCTTGACTTCCAAAATAAGACTGATAGCATTTGACCCCCCGCCAATGTGAGTGTTATTGGTAGTTGACAACAGCCAATTAGACATCATAATAATCCACTAATAGATCCCATTCGATCTCTTCAAGTGCAAGGGTGATTGGTAGTGTACAGTAACCAATCAGACATTACGTAATCCACCAATAGCGTGCAACCATTCTGACTGGATGTTGTATAACTATTCTAATGTTAATTTTTTTATAATTTTATATTTTTCGATTATTTATTAACAAATTTATTGTTGCAATTGTTTAAACTTATAATTTTTTTTAACTTACTCTTACAAATATGTTACAAAATGATTGTTAATTAATATATTACGATATATTTTATTGTAACTTAAACACATAATAGTTTCATATTTTTCGAATGTTTTACGCGCGGTTTTTTAAAATGTGACGTCATCGGCGAAAATGGAACCAGTGCCATCTCTCCGGCGAACAGGGTGAACTACACAGTTTTGAAACTATAGTTTCATTAGTTTTCCACATTGCCACTGGGCGGCGCTACGTGTATCTTTCCCGTTAAATTCAATTAATATAGTTGATTTTATTGTAATTATAGTATGAATCGAAGTGCAAGACCAATTAATTTCGCATTGTCTTGACTTTACTAAAATATTATAAATCATTAACCACCCTTAGGATAACTAGGGTGATAGCATGAGAACAAGGTAATATATTACAAATATATTCCAAGTTATTAGAGATTGACATGAAAGTAAATTTACTCGATTTAAATTTCCCTCTCAGTTGCACAACCAATTTAAAGGGACAGCGATTTCGAGAGAACAAAGGCGCCGGCAGAGAGTGTCGCCCTGGTATCTGGTTCCCTAGGGAAAATGACACCAACGCAAAGGAGTTCCTGCCACCCGCTTCAGCAACAAGCACGCATTATGCGCAATTTACAGGAATCAATAAGTAGTATAATTTTTACAAATAAATGCTAACTTTTAAAAGCAAGTTTATTCAAAATAATATTTAAAATTAAAATTCCTAGATTTTCTACTTATAATTTCAAATATTCATGTATATCTAGCAACTTTTACATTTCACGAGGCAGTGATCGCTGCCTGCAGAGTAGGAAATATAGTTTGTGAATTTTTTTGTAGTAATACATTATTACAGGGAAAATACTGTATTTTGTTATCAATAGCATATGAAATATCTGTGTGATTGTAATTTTGGGGAAATCAGGATAGGGATTTAATATATCTAGTTTAATATTAGCATACATAAATGCGCGCGCATACCCAATAGCATAGTATCTCGTGTAGCTCAGTGTAGCTCTAGTGATTTGCATATTACAAAAGATTCCTACCTTTGACGTACGAAAAGATGGTGACCTACTGATAAAGAAATTTCATGATAATAAAAATTGTGAGTGTTTAAAAGACTTTTTTCAAAATATTAAGAACATAAAGAATAAGCAATGCACTGGTGTTGGATACATTTGAAACAATTTGTAAACACATTCATACATATTAAACCTCATTTGATCAGCATTCAAGCATTTTACTGTGAGTTCATTTATCACAACTTACGATAAGCAATGACTTTTAATATGATTTATCTAAAGCATTGTATTTAACAGATGATGTCGTAATGCGTTATTTTACGTGATAATATATACTTGTATTGGAAATTGAATACTAGTGCTTTTTTTCATAAAATGTTTGATATTTATCATGTTGATGACTTAGTCCACAAAGTGTATGTTCATTTTTTGTGAAATTTAAGTTTTTTTGCGCAATAAATAGCTTTTAACCATCTTTTTTGTACTGTATACAATTTATGTTCATATCTACTTTCTAAATTTGTTGAAAATTATATTTTTGTTTAATGTAAGCCCTTCAAACTATTATCATAGTTGTACAAACACTTGTAATGGTTGCAAATTTTAATTCACATTGCTAAACAAATACTTTAAGTTATAGTTATATTACATGCATAAGATAATAAATATAATCCACAAACTATTTATTTAATATAATATGAAATACCATTAAATTTTTAAACCTATTTTTCTCGATAATACTAAAAGTGGACATACATTTGTATATTAAGCCAACTATGTAAGCAGTTTGAAGATAATGTTTTATTTGGATAATTTGTAGTATGTAATATAATAGACACTTATCTGTTACAATTTACATAATTTTTGCATTCTTATTTTAGTACTATAATTGCTGTTTATCTTATATGGTTGATCTCATTTGTGTTTATATACCTATGTTGAAAATATAAGTACTACATACTTCATTCTTAAATATTTCAGACAATAATTATATATAAATAATAAATAAATTATGAATTTTCAAAAATTATATTAAATTATAATAAATGAAATACAATGTCTCATTGTGAAGAAGAAGTGGCATCATCTGGTTTTCACCAACTAAGTATTACGAGTAAGTTGTACATATGTGACAAGTATTTTATGTTACGTAAGTTTAATTTACGTGTTTTATCTTGATATTTGAGTTTGTTTTGTACATTTCTATTTACCAAAGAAGTTCACATTTACATGTACAAACATTGGCATTGCATGTATCATGATGTTCAATGATTTTAATACATTATGTGGAAAATACCTATTAGTATGTTCTTCATATATTGTTAATAATGTGTAAAAGTCATATTAGTACATTTTTAACATATCATGAGTTGAAATACAGACACATATTTTTTATTTATCAGCAAACTAAATGTTTGAAAAAGAAAGCCATATACATAAAAATTGAACCTGGTGTGTGTTATGTAAATATTTAGTGTAATACTTTAAATGATAAATAACAAGACTTGCATACATTGTGGTCGTTTAATATTTGCCTAATGTATTAATAAATAATTATATTGATTCATTTAACATATATTGTTATATATTTTGTATATGTTTATATTAATTTTATTTATTGAACTTTTATGCTAAAAATTTATTATTTTAGTTGAAGGTGCTATACTAAGGAGTTCAACATTTTTAAAACCTAATCCTTACATAGAATTTTCTGTTGATGATAAAAGTCCTCGAAAGACAGAAGTTTCAAAATCTACATATCAACCAAAATGGAACGAGGAATTTACAATACTTGTGACCCCATATTCACAACTACATTTTCGCTTGTTGGATCATAGCACATTTCGGAAAGATACATTAATAGGGGAGAAGAAAATAAATCTCTCCCAAGTATTATCTCACTACAATGGAAAATTAGAAAATATGGAAGTAACATTTGATTTAATGAGTGAAAATAAACATGATTCTCAGTTATGTAAGGTTGGAGAATTGATAACAGTATTTGATGGATTAAAAATTAATATGTCAAATACACCATCATTAAGTGTCAATGAACCACAATGTCAAACACAATATATATCTTTTGATGGTGAGAAGCTTTAACAAAACACCCTAAGTTTTTTCTGCATGTACTTAAATCTTTCTTAAGCAAATACAAATATAATTTTATTTTAGGTGTTACAAGTAATGATACTGTTAGCAACAGTAGCATTCTTAATGGAGGAATTCGTGCTCGCATGAGATTACATGGAGTTAAACATGTTGCATCATCTACTTTCCATGGATTAACAAATTCTAATTATAATAGTGGAAGTGATCAAACTAGTGTTAATAAGGATAATGAACAAATTGAGCCTGTGGCATCAAATTCTTTATCAAATGGACATGCAGTATCACCTATGGACAAATCTGTTAATTTGCCAGGTCGTTACACAGTATCCTTACCGGATGGACGCCAGATGTCTCGAATAGATCATACATCAGCTAGTACAGCCGAAGGAAGAGTTGGTCCCTGTGCTGAACAGTTTTCAAAAATTTCGATCTCGGAAGGTCGGAATATTCCGCAAATTGAACAGTCAACAGTACACCCTGGAGTACTTGGAATTTCTAGATCAGATCAGTTAGCCACAACTAATATGGATATGTGTTCGCATAATAGAACAGAACAGTCTGCTTCCAGTGATCGTAATTCTCGACTAGAACAATCGATAACTCCTCTTTCAGATAATTGTGGAGCTATGAGATCAGATCAAGCTACTATTCCATTAGATGAATGTATACTTTCTAGAATAGATCAACCTAGAAATGCTGTTTTAACAGATAACCAAGTAAACTCTCAACCAGAACAATCGGTAGTATTTACAGTACCAGATGGTTCTAATTTGGAGCAATCTGCATTATTTCTTATGGCGGATAGTCATGACATCGTACGTTTAGATCAATCTGCAACATTACCCACAGCGGAATCGCGCCGTATTCCTCATATTGATCAGTCTGCAACGTCTACGTCAGCTGCTCATTCAAATCCTAGAATGATGCAACGTGTTGCTTCTTTAACAGGACAAACTGCTGTAATACCTAGTCAGTCAACTCAGTCTGGCTCTTCAATATTACTTGCTGAAGTTGACCATACAAATCATTCTGAAGAACCTTTACCTCCTGGTTGGGAAATGAGATACGACATTTATGGAAGAAGGTTATATTACTTTTCGAAATTTGTAAAACTTGTCTTGCAGTAATTTCCAATAATTATATAATTTTTTCTTAGGTATTATGTTGACCATAATACTCGAAGTACTTCTTGGGAAAGACCTCAGCCTTTACCACCAGGGTGGGAAGTTCGTAGAGATCCAAGGGGTAGAATTTATTATGTAGATCATAACACAAGAAGCACAACGTGGCAAAGACCAAATACAGAAAGATTACAACATTTCCAACACTGGCAAGGTGAAAGACAACACGTGGTACAACAAGGTAACCAACGGTTTCTTTATTCTCAAGTAAGTAATAAATCATAAATAGTTATTTGACACAGATATTTATAATTACATTTTACTTCATTTAATTAAATTATGTATAGGGATATGGAAATCAAACAGCTATGCCAGGGCCCTCAACATCTACGGTTGATGATGATGATGTTTTGGGACCATTACCTGCTGGATGGGAAAAACGTAAACAGCCAGAAGGAAGGGTTTACTATGTAAATCATAAAAATCGTACTACACAATGGGAGGATCCAAGAACTCAAGGGCAAGAAACTGGAATCGATGAACCGCCATTACCAGATGGCTGGGAAGTCCGATTGACTGAAGATGGAGTTCGGTACTTTGTAGATCACAATACAAGAACAACTACATTTCAGGATCCAAGACCTGGTGCACCTAAAGGGTTTGTACAGTTTTCGAATTCGTCTATAAATATTTTCTTCTCGTATTTTCTTATTATATAAATCATTTTTACGTTGTTACTATATAGTCCCAAAGGCATTTACCGTGTACCGAGAGCATATGAAAGATCATTCCGATGGAAGTTATCGCAATTTCGTTTTTTATGCCAAACTAATGCAGTGCCAAACCATATGAAAATTAGTGTTAATCGACAAACGTTGTTCGAAGATTCCTATCATCAAATAATGAATGCTGAAGCTTTCGCACTAAGACGTAGATTATATATAATATTTAAAGGTGAAGAGGGACTGGATTACGGAGGTGTATCTAGGTAAATCTCAAAAAACTATTCTAATAGTAATTTTCTATTTTACAAAAATAGACAGATCAGTAAACTGATGAATTCTCGTTTCAGAGAGTGGTTCTTCTTATTGAGTCACGAAGTATTGAATCCAATGTACTGCCTATTTGAATACGCTAATAAAAGTAATTACAGTTTACAAATCAATCCAGCATCTTATGTCAATCCTGATCACTTACAGTATTTCAAATTTATTGGAAGGTTTATAGCAATGGTATGTTGGTTTTTATTTGTGGTATTATTATTCTTAACGTTGCGCTAATATAATATATGTTTGCAGGCTCTGTATCATGGACGATTTATTTACAGTGGATTTACTATGCCGTTTTACAAACGTATGTTAAACAAAAAATTAATTATGAAAGATATAGAATCTATCGATCCTGAATTCTACAAATCTCTTGTATGGATAAAAGAAAATAATATTGATGAATGTGGCCTTGAATTATATTATAGCGTTGATTTTGAAATTCTTGGTCAAGTAATACATCATGAATTAAAAGAAGGTGGTGATAAAATTAGGGTTATTGAAGATAATAAAGAAGACTATATTAGGTACCGTTATCGTTAATATTTATCGATACTTTACAATTTAAGAATAATTTATTAACTGTGTTACGTTACCTAAGGTTGATGACTGAATGGAGAATGACAAGAGGTATCGAGGACCAAACAAAAGCATTTTTGGAAGGTTTTAATTCAGTTGTACCATTAGAATGGTTAAAATATTTTGATGAACGTGAATTGGAACTTATGCTTTGCGGTATGCAGGAAATAGATGTAGAAGACTGGCAACGTAATACAATTTATAGGCATTACACGCGAAATAGCAAACAAATCTTATGGTTTTGGCAGGTTGGTTATATTAAGTATCTTAAAGATTATTGAATTGAATATGTATGTAATTTATTGCATTTGTATGTTTTACTTAGTTTGTGACAAGAACAGATAGTGAAAAACGAGCTCGACTTCTACAATTTGTAACAGGTACTTGTCGGGTACCTGTCGGAGGATTTGCAGAATTAATGGGTAAATATGAAATGCTATTGATAAAATATGAAGTAATAACAATTTATGCTTAAGATAATGTTTATTATTAATTTTTAGGGAGTAACGGTCCTCAAAGATTTTGTATAGAAAAAGTAGGAAAAGATACATGGTTACCTAGATCGCATACATGCTTCAATAGATTAGATTTGCCACCATATAAAAGTTATGAGCAGTTAGTAGAAAAGTTAAGTTACGCAATCGAAGAAACAGAAGGTTTTGGTCAGGAATAATTATACATATACTTTACTAAATGTAACATGCAACTGTGTATAGGGTGGTCGAAACGAACTGGATATAGTAATACAAGGTTATATTTTTATTTATTTTATTCTTATTAACAATACATCACTTTTAAACAAAAAATCTATTAAACAATATTCTTATAGTAATTTTAGTCGGAAATGTTTTATCTCGATTTTGACTTCTTTTATTCTATGATTTGCAATTAATACCAAAAATATAACATTCGTAGAAAATATCAATGGTGCATCAACCAATTTGTACATATTTACATAATAAAATACAAACACGTTATAGGAATATTAAAATAAAAATGAAGATGCCAAAATAATTACATTATAATTCATTCTTTTCAAATTAATTTTTCTTGTTTTATATGATTAAAAAATCTAAATGTTTATGTTTAGAAAAAGTAATAAACAGCATTACAAAATTGTGTTATGTTGTTACATGTAAATTTCTTAAACTCATACTAAGAAACTTTCTGACTTTTAGTTATTAATTGTTTCAGCAACTGATATGTTAATAAACTGTAAATTACAATTTTTTAACTATTTACATTTATTGATGCTTTCTACAATATGTTAATGACACTGAACAAATATTGAAAGGTTTGAAAATTTGTACATATTGAGCTATGAATATGTTGTATATTATATGAATAAAAATTAACAATTTCATGTTTTGTCCTAAATAGCTAAAAAAACTAAATGATATTATTTATTAATTTGAATAAAACATTGCAGATAGTTTAGAAAATAAAAAGTATTAAATGTACATTCGACTGTTTGTATAGATGCTAAAAGCATTTAATGTAATGTTTACATTATAAAGTATTTGATGCAAATCGATGGAAAATAATAATTTATAATTATTTTTGTATATATATGAATTAAATAGATATTTACTATTTGAGAACAAAAGGAAATATAATAATAGTTCATTTTATTATTTTTTGTCATCTCAACATTTGTTATATCTCTTTATTAACATCATTATCATTAACATTTTAACATTCATAACAAATCATAAAAAAGTATTTAAACATTCCTTTATTTTCCTGTTGTTTTTAAATAGTAAATGACTGATTTGATATAGAAAATAGTTATAAAATATTTTCTGTGAAATGGTATATTTGAAAAAAGCTATTAAGTTAATGCAGTTAATAGCATTTTAATAATAGCTTAGTATATATGTAAAATCAACAATATTTATTGAATAATGTAATATATATTTATAATAATTTAATTACCTGTATACATAGTTTGCTTTGAAACATTAGAAACAAAAATTATGCTTCTTTTGAAATCATTTTTACATTATTCAATTTTATAAGTGAAAATATTCTTCATTTTTAAATGGATCTGTGATGTTTCATTCAAAACGGTACAATAATATCCTATTTAGTATCTTTAATAATTAAGTATTATTTTCCTTCTGTCCAAATGATAATAGTTACTACTTAATTATTAAAAATTCTTTTTACTCAGATTTACACGCTTATATGTTATCTAAAATTGTATACTAAGAAAACTGTATAAATATCCGTCATTACATATTTTCTTTTTTATTGTATCATATTTATTTTGTCTAAAACACGTGTTACATGTTTTGTGTAAGTATCACGCATAGTACTGTTATATATCATGTTATAATAAAAGTTTAGGATTATAAACATGAAATTAGAAATTTAAGCTGTTTTAATAAATGTGTGCACATGCATACATACACATATGTACAAATAAGTATTGTCACTAATATATTAGTATATGCATGCAATATAAAATTGAATATATGTATACATGAAACATGTATTGTAACAATATAATAGTTACAAAAGATAAGGATAAAAAATTTATGATATTAAAAGGAAAAAATAAATTTAATTATTCATTTATGTGTTTCTATTATTTTTTAGCTTATGATATCATTCTGATTCTAAAATTTGAGAGTATTTTATTTAGTTATAGGTCTTAAAACTACAGATTATAATTAGAAGTGTGAATAAATTATAATCTTTGCAATTTAGAGTTAATATTAAATTTGAAAATATGAATATTATTGCATTTTATGGAAAAGATTGATTCCGATAATCCCAGTCTAAAATAATATACTAAAACATGCGAGTGTAGGAAACCATTAGAATGGAACTGCGTAAATACATACATGTATATGTAAACATATACATTTAAAGGAAGATGTAGGCGGAAAATCCTCTCCCTACTTCTGACTCAATAAGGTTTCAAATCGCAAACATGCAAATTCAATTAAGTTTCCGTTGATTAAATTATCTTTAATTTTAAAAATGGAGTATAGTTTTACGCGTGCTATAGCAAAACCGTAAATATCTTGAGAAATTAGAATATGAAAGTGGCAGTTCACACTCCCTTAAATTATTTAAAGATCGAGATTATAAGCATTTTATGGAAACTCGCCATGTTCCATACAAGTACGACATCTTACTACAGAAACTAGAAACAGTTCGCAAATATGGCGAGTCTTAAAGTTGTAAAATTTTTCGATGCTTGTAGTAGACAGCCTAAAGTTAATTTCATAAATATAATAACACGAAATGTGCAAGATAGCAGTTGGGAACCTCCCAACAAAGTAACTCATACTGGCCAGGTAAAATATTATTGCTGACAATGTTAATTTATTTTAGAATATAATAATTTTTATGATTTTAAATAAATGATTTATTTTATAATAGTTGTACGACAAAAATGATTACCGCAACGTAAGGTTCCTGAACAGACAGAAGGAAGTTAATGACAACTGGGCTATTAAATTGATAGCAGAAGTGCCCCCTGCATCTGCGAAGGATAGAATTGTGGCTTGTGATGGTGGTGGCGGACCTTTGGGACATCCAAAAGTTTACATTAATTTGGTATATATTATATTTAGTTATATTTTTTTATTAGCATATTTATCACCATGACAATTAAAACTGAGTGATGCTTGCATTTCTATAAAAATTTAATATTCATAATATTCATATTATTAAGAATTCTGTTAATTATCTAATTAGAAGTACTTGTATTTGTTGTTTAAAATTATAGTTGCAATCAAATATTATAAGAATGATAGATAAAATTCAATGATTTTATTGGATAGTGAATGTGTTAAATATTAATTACAAACTCTTATATGAAATTGTATTTTAGGATAAACCTGGTAATCATACTTGTGGATATTGTGGACTAAGATTTTACAAAGAAGATCATCATTAATCCATGATATAGTGTATATATAAGTAGTTAAATAGTAACTTATATAAATATTTAAAGAAATGTTATATAATGGAAATGTAAAAAAATATAGCTATTCTTTCAATATTATACAATTCAAAAACAATGTTTATTTAAATAAAACTTTGTCTTTATAATAACAATTTCTTTTTACAAAGCTGTTTTTTGATTATTTATACCCAATGGTATTGCCTGTAATTCTGTCTTCATACAAAGGAATTCACCACAAACACACATTATACTTAAAGATACAATATTTAGACACCACCAGCTGAAACTTGAGGGAAAACTTGCATTATACACCCAACAGCATAACAAATGTATCAAATGTGCTGTACAAGCAAAATCCATACACTGTTTTGTTCTTTGCACTAACCACCATAATGCAAATGCTCCGATTAATGCATTTAAGACAAAAATTACTATTATAAATTGTCCTGTAAAATCTCTAACATGTATTTCTTTATAATGAAAAGCATAATCCAATGATTTTGTTGTTCCTATCAAAGATGCAACAACCCAGATCCATAATCCAAGGCAAAAATACATTACAGTTTGTACAGCTATTATTTGGGATATTATGAGAATTGGATCCCACATTGTTTTACGAAATTGTCCTGTAATGTTGTTCATTGTTCACAAAGTTTTTACCTTTTTCATTAAACAAACAATTCCTCTTTATAATATTACTTTTATATTTTGTTATCATTTTAATGCATTCTGGAATCTAAAACAATATAAAATATAAGAAAATTATTAACTAGATAATACATGAAATAAATTACATATTAATAAAAAATATTTTATAAATAGAAAAAAATATATATGAAAGAAAATAAATTTATTATTTTCTTTAAATAAAATAAGGATTTCTAGTTAATTGTTAAATATTGACCTAATTTAATATACATAATAAACATTTAACCTTTATCTATATACATTATACATAATTATATCAACCTTCAATGTTGTTATTATAAATATATCGATTTTATTGTATAAAATATTACTTACATGAATTTACAATAATAAATCTTGATAAATTATGACAGTTACCATGAATACAAATGTTTAGTAACATTATGTTTATGTAAAATTTCTCTTTTTGCAACGATTTCAAGTGCACTTTAACATATTTCTCTTGGTCTAGGAAACAGGTATTTATATATTGCAAAATGCACAATTCAAATTATATGATATTTGACAGATTATGAGAAACATTTATTTGTAGGTTAACTTATAATGTATAACAAATATTCTCCACATCAGAAGCACAGCTGATTAGATCACGCGAATAACGAATTTTCATTCAAACTGCGCATGTTAGCTCTGATTGGTTCTAACCTTTCGTATACAAAAGTAACGCGCATAATCACATACAGTACATATACCTCGTGCTCTTTTATTTCGTGTACTTTTAATATTATCTTCCGTATTCGTTATTTATATATTTATTTTTCACTGTGTACATGGAACGGTAGTGAAACAATTTAGTGGTGGTGAACCTTCTTAGTCTGTCAAGGTGCGCGAACAGGTTCGATCATTTGCGAAGGAAAGTTCAGGTTATCTCCAACGTATACGAAGAAAATATACAAAGAAATACCGTGACTGTCAGCAAGTTACGTGTATACTAAATAAAGCTGAAGAAATGCCATTTTGGAACTTTATTCAAAATTTATTTGGTTTAGATAATTCTAAAGAACCTACCATCAAAGGGTAAAAATTCTTATTTATAAATTAAAAAGATTTGTAATATATGACGTTATTGCATCACTAACGTAACATTTTTTTTTCGTTTTTATATTAATGAATTATCATGTGAATATATAGAGTGTATCATTCAAGTCAAATCTTACAATTTTACAGATTTTTTGGCTATCAAAATAATGACAGCTTTAATGATTCATTTTGGCAACATAATGAAGATGAATGCAATGTTAGGTAACTTATATTTCATGATTTGAATACTCAATAGAGATTTTTGTAGGTTTTATTTTCTTCTGAATATTATTAAAATAGTGATTTAACAATTTTGGTCTTCAAATTTGTAGCCCATTTTGCAGGAGGAATAGCCAATTTAATGTTTTTAACGACCCATTTGAAATGTCACGATATTTTGAATCTCAAATAGATCATATGTTAAAGGATTTCATGGTTGGATTTGCTAATGAAGGTACATTTTTGTTTTTAAATAAATACAAAATAATTTGTTCATTTTTATACATAATAATTTTCATAAAATGTGTTTAGGATTTCATACATTTACAAATTCAACTCCATTCATTTCTCCACATCAGGAGAATTTGCGTGATAAAATGTTGAAACCCAATTGTGATATTTTAAGTCCAGCAGTACCAAAGAAGGATTCAGACTTAGATGGAAAGTAAGTATTTTTATATAAATATTTGTTACTAGAAAGCTGTATATTGTTCATTTAAATAGGATTACTCCAGACAATTTCTCTAAAGTTTGGGATAAGCAAGAACCAATTCTAGTACAAGAACCTAAACCATTCATAACTGGAAAATGTATAACAAAAGAATATGTGCGTGGACCTGATGGCACTGTAAAGCAAAAACAAACAATTCGAGATCATGAAGGAAATGAGGAAACAACTATATCACAACGCACTGGTGACAAAATATACACAGTTGTTGTAAAAAAGGACAAGAATGGAGTAGAAACCAAAACTGAAAATTTTATCAATACAGATGGTAGTAAGTAATTTATATAAAACATCTTATTTAATATGATGTAATGAATATTTTTACACATTTAAATGCATTTATTTGTGAGTTTTTCGAAACACTTGTCCATTGTAATTTAAAAAAATATTATATAAGTGTATTGTGAATTTCAGGTGAATTGACAGATGGAAACTCGTTTTTAAAAAATGAACCTAGCTTCAATAATATTGATTTAAATTTCTTTTCTTGGGAAAAGTTCTTTAATCCCAATCCAAAATTATAAACATGTCAGATATAATTTATTTAGAAATTGATACATTGTAAAATACTAATAACTGATATTGTTAAAATTGTATAGTTAAATAATTTAGAATATATATATATATACAAATGTAATATATAATAAATTTATTTAACAACTTCAATTTATTCAGTTTATGGAATATTTAAGAATAAGAAAGGCATAAAAAAATTGTTGGGATGGGATGATGATTTGGACACACTTATTTCATACAAATAAAATAATTCGATTTAAAAATATTTCATTTATTGTACAATATAACTGTACAAATAAAAAAGTTTGGACTGATCAATTACAATCCTTGTGTTTAGTCGAATAAACCTGTAAACAAATAATTAAAATAGATAATATTGCACAATATAATGTAGCCAATTGTCATTCTTATTTTTAGATATTATTTTATATAGGTTTTATACATTATAGTAATACTAAATATTAAATTACTATTCTACTATAACTACAATTATATGGATTATATTATAAATTAATAACTTACCAAAGCCCATATCATCATCTGATTCTTCTTCTGGTTCTTCTTTCTTCTTTTCTTCTTTAGCTGGGGCAGCCTCTGCACTGGCAGGTGCTGCAGCTGCTGGTGCTATAGAAGACAAAAGAATAATAAAATGTTATTATATATCACAAATATAATCTGTGCTATTTAACAATTATATTAAATATTTGTTGTATAAAAAAACTTAGTTATATTTTCAATATAACTATTAATAATTTTTATACTTTTTACTTTCTCCTCTTTTACTGACCACTCTAATAAATGATGCTACTTAGAACAGTGGATGAAGAGGATGGTTAATAAAAGTATCTAAAGTACTATTAGTACTTTAGTCAGGACAATCAAAGTTGATATATGAGTTAACCATTGTCTGATAATTGTAATTTATTTGTAACTCTTAGTAACCAATTTATGTAGAAATTATCTTTAGTTTTATATACAAAACAGAAAAATGTAAGTATTAGTTCTTATTACAAGGAATGATAAACTTGTATATCAACTCTCAGTGTTACATCTATATAAGTTTTAAGTTACTTCTCGCTTTAAATAATAAGCTAGAAAAGTAATGTGATTACAACCTGCTGCTGGTGCGCTTCCAACTCCTGATCCAATATTTGTAAGAAGTTCTTTTACATTTACACCCTCCAAAGCCTTAGCAAAAAGTCCAGGCCAATAGGATTCCACTTCAACATTTGCGGCTTTCAAAATTGTTTGAATTTTTTCGCCCTAAATTACAGATACGTGTACAAAAAATTAGAAATATTTTAATACATTAACTTTATAAATATTTGATTGTATATTATAAACAAAAGAAATACAAAAATATCATCAGAATTGTTAACAACACCACGTGAAAGAAGTACTTACAGTAACAGCGACGTCATCATCGACAAGAATTAATGCCGAATAAATGCAGGCGAGTTCAGCTTTGGTACTCATATTTGTAACTTATTTGTTTTATAATAAAACTGGATGAATGTTAATAATGGTGCAAGTCGCTGATACGGCCTTAGCTCTTCAAGAGAGAACAAGCACCAAATATCGTTCTACCCAGCACAAGGGAAAAGAGACCGAGCTTCACCGGAAATCACGTGATGTTACTTAAGGGAGTATCGCAATGCAGCGATAAAATACTCATAACAGGAATAACATGATTCTATTGGTTCATTCACATTCTTTTTATAACAAACTTTTATATTACAAATTTATTATATCATGTGGAATACTTTTACATTTATTCATTTCATACATTAGAAAAGTAATATTACATATTTCGTTAATAAAATATGTTCATATAAGGTGTTTCATAATTGATACAAGTTTGTATATGTATAGATATATAATTAAAAGGTTCAACTAAAATGTTTGAACAACAATAATGATTAATTTATTGTATAAAAATGAATAATATGAATAATAATTTTTATGTATTGTTCGTTCAAAGGAAGATCATATAAAATTTGCGCAATGTAGCTAACTTCAATAGATTTCCCACCCTTTGGTGTTGTCCCACTACCATATGTTTTCCAGTTCACTGATCATATACACGGTGGACAAGAATAGAGAAACCCTTAATTTTTACGTGATATAACACAACCTAGATCAAGTAATAGCTTGTAAACGCTATGATTACCATAAAATTCCCAAAATTCAAATCTTTGATTTATTATATATGGACTACGGCCACACCTAATGTAAGGAGTAACCTAAATAAAAAATCACCGAGTATATAGAATTAATCACTAAAATCGCAGCACGCATGCGCGTTGCTCTTGGGTACGAAACATACCTAACGAATCAGAGCTGACATGCGCAGAACGAGTAAAAACTCGACACTACCGAGTATGATCTCTTGTTGAACAGAATATATATATATATATATATATATATACATTACTGCATATCTTCATGAATATTAGAAGGTGGCGCCGCATAGCGAAACATTTACTTAGTAAGTGATAGGAGTATACCAGAGTATACTCTATTTTTTCTACTAATAACGACGTAAATGTGAATCGACATTCGAAAGGTTTGCATCGATTAATAACGTGTACGTAATTGCGTTAGTTTGGTGTTTTGTTCTGAATGTTACTTGTAATATTTAATTGTTTTCTGAATTACAAGGACTCGTGTCAGAGCGATCGACACAGAGTTATTTGTTTCGTGTCCACCTTGTAGTTTTATGAATAGTTTGGCAAACACTTCTTTCGTGATACGTTGCTATGTAGTACCGGTGTAAATGAAGCGGCGGCGTATAGCGCGGTCGCGTGGTAAAGGGATACCGCCTTTGAGGATGATGAAAATGGCGCGCAAATGTTGCGTGCGTAGCTGTGAGGTTGATGTGCAAGATGCTCGAGCCAAGGGTTTACCGCTTCATAGGTTTCCAAAAGACAGCAATTTGAGAAGTAAATGGTTAGCCAGTGGTGGATTCGAGACAACTTTTAAACCTTCACCGGGTCAGGTTGTCTGCCACAGACATTTTAAACGTGCTGATTACGAAGCCGCTAAGGGACATAAATTACTTCTGCGTAAAGGCAGTGTTCCGTCAGTTTTTGCAGATTATGACAATCATCCAGGTTCGTATAGTACAGTATAAAGGAAACTTATTTTTACTTATTCCTTATTAAATACTGTCAAATACAAAATTTTCATTAAGCTAGTTTGTATATCTTCTGCACATCATTGTTTACTTTTGTTCAATGTAATTATTAACTTTTTTTCTTACCTTTTTGTATTTAATGCTTTTTATAATACTTGATTTAAATACAGTGAATTTGAATTCAATGGTTATGAAATACTATATATTTAATAATATTAGTATACTCTATTATTTACAATTTAATAGGTATAGTTGTAGTTATAGTTGAAATTTATTTATTATCCTTTTACATATCAGTTTGACATGTTTTTTCTAAACATGTTTTAAAATTTAATAAATTCATAGTTGTTGCTATAAAATATATTAAAAACATTTTCATGAGCAAGGGAGGGTCAATAAACATAGGACAGAATTATAAAATCTTTTATTGTATGTTTATATTGTAAATAACATATATTAGATCTTCCATAAATTTTCATAAATTTTTATATGATATAATGTAGTAACAAAGAAAAATTGTAACCTAAGTAGATATTTTTTTTGCGAAACAAAAAATGTTTCAGTATATCTTTAATTGATGATGATACAACATACAACTACAATTCTTCACTATAAGTTTAATGTTTATCTATTCCCAGAATGTAGCTTCATTTCATTGAAGGTCAAGATAGATCCAGTTAAAGCTTCTGATTAACTATTAAATTTAGTAAATATACTCACAGATAACTAGTCATATTCATATAGACAATTCTTATTTTCTTTAAGAAGATTTATGTACATTACTATGTTCATTAACTATTTTCTTTCTTAGTTTAGTGAATGAACTATCACATGCCTATAATTGTTCATTTAATGTAATTTACTGCTCTCCTTCCCAGATGACAAAGACGTCCAAAAGATGTACTTTGCAGTCGGTATTCTGTTTATCAGCAAGCAAGAAACATAATTTGAAAAATTCAATTTAGTTTTTGATATGTAACAAAATTGTGTGAAAAATCTAAAAAAAATGTCTACAATGAAGTTCTAGAAGCCATAAATACAAAATTGAGAAGAAAGAAAGTATATAGTATAATGTAAATATTATATTTGTATTGGCAGTAAAAGCAAAGATAAGGAAAATGTAATAATTTTTAATAATTTTAAAGTTTGAGTAACATATCTCTTATGTGGGTTCTAAATTGTAACAATAAATGTATTGTTACACATAATTTTGTAATGTAATAATGATGACGTGTTTTTAAAAGTTGATAATAATAGCTTTGCTATTATTATGTATTTTACTAAATAATTGTAGTTGTTTAAAAAGTGCTATATAATTTAGTATGTGATATTTATAGTTTTAATAAATATTGTAGTAGATATAAATTAAATATATTGAACATTTTGACTGCCATATTAAATTTACAGAAATTTATAACAGAGCATTATTTTGTTTTTTAAAATTATTTATGTTGTAGATTAATATAAAATTTTACATTATTCAAACATGGCAGTTAAAATGTTAAAGAATATTTTACATTTTGAATTTTCCAATTAATCAATATTTAGATTTTTTTTACAGATCCTGTGATAATGTCTGTGAAATCATCAACTTCTTATGCGCAGGAGGATTTGGATCTCATTAATTCTGAGATTTTAAATTTAGAGCAATCTATTTCACCATTGGTATCTGAAGCAAAAACACAAAAGGTTGATACCTCTAAAGAAACATGTGCTTCTGAACCAGCATCATTAGTTGATTCTTCTAATGAGTTAGATTCCAAAGAAATACTTGATAATGGATATAAAAATTCGAATGTAAAAGAAAAAAACAGCATAAAACAAGAAAAAGTTCCTGCACAGCAGGAAGTAAATGAAAATTCAGAAGTACAAGTAAATACTGTTGCAGTGCAGTTAGGAATTGTAGAATCAGATATAGCAATGAAGGATATACAAAAAAGTTTGATCATAAAGGAAGAATTAAAAAACGTTAAAATGGAGGATGAAAAAGTATTTGAGAAAACAGATGAATTAAAACCAAAGATTTTGAACCGAGGTGGATTAAAATTTTTTCCTGGTGCCAAATTAGAAGCAAAAGATTTCAATGAAAAATGGTGAACTTTGTCAAACATTGATTGATTTAATATATTAGTTATTGCAAAATTATTTACTGGTATCATGTTGCAGGTATTCAGCTAAAGTAGTAGAAACTGATTGGGATGAAAGAGAAGTCTTGATTCATTTTGATAAATGGAGCTCAAGATTTGACGAATGGATACCTATGGATAGCTCCAGATTACGAGTATTACAAACACAATCAAAGTGAGTAGACATTTTAATGAGAGTATATAAAAAATTATTCGGATACTAGTTTAAAGTTAAAACAATAAAAGTTTCAATACAAATCACTTGTTGCTTTACTTATTTTATATGTTAAGATGTTTCTTGTAACACATTTTTTTTCTTTTTTTCTTTAAAGTGAAGAAACTTGGGATCTGCCATCTTCGTAAGTTGATGTTTTATAATTGTTAAATATATAGGAAACTTTAATTATTTACGATTTTGATTAAGTAGTAGTCTAAATTATTTATTATAGTGCTATTAATATGAATTTTCAATCTTATTTTTTATGCAAAGTTGTAAACTTCCATAAACATGGATATACTTCGCTGTGATACACAATGTGAATCATAATTAATGAGTAGAGTACAAGCAAAAATGACAACATTTATTTATTTATTTATTAAAATATTAACTATTAATTTATTTATTAATAGTTAACATTTTTATTTTAAATTCTTAGAACATATCATTGAAAAATGTGTTACAGTGTGGTTTTGCATGTATCTACGTAAGTTGAAGTCTGCCACTCTTTTAAATATTTAAAAAAATATATATTTTTATGTATATTTGTAAACTGAATTTACAATATATTCTTTTTCATCCTAATATAATATAAACTATAATTTATATAATTAGTATTCATATATTGACCAACAGAATGTAAAATAAAGATATATTAAAATTTTGTTAAAATTTTGCAAAGTACTTGAGTTTTATATATAATTGAAAATAACGAAATTAGTGTATATAAAAAGAATTGCTTGTTTAATTGTTTTCATTTATTTATTGTAATGGCCGATAATATTTTTCCGGGCGTAATAATAAATCAGTTTAATACCTTCAGGGAAGAAAAAATGAAAGATTTTTCAGTAGGAGAAAGGATACTTGCTACATGGGCTGATGGTAGAAAATATCCAGCCAAAGTGAATGCAGTTTTAGGGAATGGTAAGTGATCTAACCTTAACTATATATATACATAAGAGAAACAGACTGTTGTCTATATTGGTGGTTTGATGTTTCCTGGGAGGATATTTGTTTAGTTGTAAAAATGGTGCCTTCTTAATATAGAATTGTTTTCACAGATAGGTATGATGTACTCTTTGATGATGGATATGCAAAGACAGTTAAATCGTCAAAAATGACAAAAATTACTCCAACATCCACAAAGGTACGATTTTCGTTGTAAGGTTATGTTGTCCTATATCATTTGATGAAAACCCTAACAAACTTAGCTTATATCTTTTCTTCTTTATATTATTAAATTGTTCTTCTTTAAAAACAGATGTTTTCATTTGTTTTGTCAGTTTAAATGTTTAAAAAGGAGTGGTACCAGTTAATGTATTTTTATATTCATATAATTGTTATTATTTAACATTGGTAGCAAAAGTATATTTTATGAGGCTCTTAATAGACTGGGTGACCCGGAATAAATGGAAAGTAATTTAAGGGCAGCTTCAATGGATCAAGAAAGTGAAAAAAGTTCATGTAAACATATGTCCTATTTGACTTTGTTTCCGAGCTATAACAAAATTTTGAATTGCAATAATTCTTCCATTAGAAGTGCATAGCATCATTTAATTCTTGTCATCTGCTTATAAATTGAACTCCATATTTTTGTTACAACATTATAATTTAATTCTACCTTTAAGTATCTTCCGAGTAATAGACATTTATGAGCCATAAGAACATTATGTGTCCAGATTGTTGAAATATATTATATGTGACCAATGCAAAGTGAAAAAGAAATGTTATTTTCTTTTTTGTTTATTTATCACAAAGAAATTGGGTAAGGTTTCTAATAAATCAGAGTAACATCCGGACAAAAGGAGAGAGAAAGATAGTCGCTGGTATCACATTTGTAGGTTTGCATTTATGTTCAAAGATGTTATTTGCAATATTTCTTATGAAAGCAAGCAGATACAGTTTATTGGAAATTAAATTCGATATAATTAGAAATTACAATCAAATAGAACATATATTTATAATATGAATATTTTTTTATTCCTTGAGCCATCTCCAATAATTTCCATTGATTCTGAGACACCCTGATTATGTATTTATCTTATGATATTATATATATTTATTATTATTATAAAGTGATATTAATTTAAAGATACAAATAATATAATATAATAGAATTAAAATAATTGTAACAATATTGTTAATAGTATCCATGATATTGCAAAATTATGTAAAACGAAATTTTATTCTTTTCAATAGCAATTTAATCAAACTGAAGAATATATAGGAAGCAAACAAGAAAGAAGAGATAAGAAAAGAAAACATACAGTCATGGAGTTATTTCATACACATTCTAGAAAACGAACAAAGAATGAAGGAGATAAATTATCAAAAAAACAAGAGGTAGCAATACATGAAAATGGAGATGTACCAGAAAAAATTGATTTAGATGGTACTTTGTTTGGTCCTTGTTATGATCCCGGAACGGATCTATTACGAGGATTTGACACTAATATATCAAAAATAAAAAGTTTTCCAAAAAAGACTAAGAAAGATATCCCAAGAACTGATATAAGTCAGGAAGATGATGTAGGACCTGAGTGGATAGATGGAGAACCACAAGGAACTGAATCTTATATAGTAGATGGAAATGATGGTAATTTAACAGAAAGAAACATATTTTGAACATATTCTATAAATTTTTCTTTTGTTTTTTCTTCTTTGAATGCGTAATGACATATCTATGGAATCATATTTTTATTAAATTAAAAATCGATTTAAAGTACATATGTTTTATAGGGCCTCGTCGCTCAATAATCGTTGCAGATAAAAGATTACCGCCTGGATGGCAAAAACATTTTACGCAAAGAAAAGCCGGTACATCTGCTGGAAAATGGGATGTCTTATTTCTTCATAAATCAAGTGGAAAAAAGTTTAGATCGCGAAATGATATCAAAGTATTTCTGGAAAACCAAGGGCAGTTTGATTTTGATCCTGAAAAATTTGATTTTTGTATTCATCGGAAAAAGAAAAACTATGGACAAAAAGTAAAACAACCTATTACTATGGATGTACCAAAAAAGATTAAAACTTTATTACCTAAAGCAAAAGCACCAACATCAGAAGATTCGTTGCTGGTTTCAACAAGTACACCAGTTACAACATTAGTATCTACATCAACAACATCCATCACAGATGGTGGTAAGATTTCATTTTCCATTTTTCTCAATTTTCATAATTTTCATGCAATCTGATTGAATTTATTTTTTCATGCTTACTCAAATCAGGAGTGATTTATTGTAAGTTTGAGAACGTAATATTGAAAGTTAATTTCAAATTAAATACAGTTTAATAATTTATGAAAAATTTGATACAAATTTGTATATTTTATAAATTATTTTTTTTTTGTTTCTTAACAGCTGTTTTCATTGGTGGACTTCGCGTAGAAATGGAAGACAGTGCTTACAAGTGTCCAAAACAGGGATGTAATAAAACATTTCGTAAAGAGAATCTTTTACAAATGCATATAAAACATTATCATCCAGAATATTCCAAATTTTTGGGATCTACGCCAAATGTTGCAGATTTAGCATACGCAAGAACAATTGGGGAATCCGTTGAAGATATTATTCCGAAAAAATCAAATAATTTACTAGACAAATGTAATAAACTTGGAAAGAAAAAACCTGTTCATGAGAAAACATTATACACTGCACCATCATCTCTAACGACTTTTGTTCAATCTACATCACCAAAAGTAATTTTATCAACGGCATCAGACATAGAAGATGAAATAGATCAAGTAGAAAAAAGTAACGATGTACCAGCAGAAGACATTAAATCAGAAAGAATGTCTCCAATTTCGAGTTATAGCGTCGATATGGATGATGAAATTGAAAAGAAACGAGATGCTTCAGCAATGTCCCCTGGAACATTATTTGACATGAAAATCAAAGAAGAAAGAACACAAACTGGCATTAAAACTCTTCTTCCTGTAAGACCGGCAGTATCTTCAGAGATACAAAGAATTGATAGACCAAAATCTTTAGACGAAGTTATTAATATTGATAGAATGAAGGGTCAACGAAAACGACAATTATCAGAATACAGTTCTGATGGATTAAATAGGAATAAACGACGTCAAGGTAATTACATTCACTTACACTATTGTATAGTAAGACTCTTAGTATGCAGTGCATCTTACTATGTGGAACACTATAGAACTATAGAAACGGAAAAACTATCAACTATTGTTTTGTAACAGGTATTCAGGAACTAGATGAATATGGTGATTTAGATGATAGTGCTTTGGATACTGATGAACCGACGACGCTTACATATAGATATAGTCGCAGAAAATCAGATTCCAGAAGTGATGAAAATAGCCAGAGTAGTAAGTTTTTATAATTAGACAGATCAGTTTGTATCGTATGCAGCTTTTTAATTGTGTAATGATTATAAAACAATTTATATTTGTTTTCTGAAGTAAGGTGGCAAACTACTATTTTATTATCTTATTTTTCTTTAGGTCAACTAAATGATTCTCGCGTTGAAAAAGATGATACTTTGAAAGGGGATATTGCTAAAAAAGATACTAATGATGGGGAAGGTATATTATTTATTTTTTTTAATTTGCTTCAGTTCATTTTATTAACTCTTTGTGATTGATGGATTGAACTTGGCAGATTATTTTCACTATCTTGCTTGCTGAATAATCTATATATTAGAAATATATAAGAAGATTATTTTGTTGACTTTGTTGATCAAATATTCTTTTTTCTTCACAAAATATCAGTAATTTCAGCGCTAATTGCTGACAATACGCAGACATATATTTTCTAAACGAAATTGGTTAAAAAAAAAAAATATTAATATTTTAAGAAATAACATTGGCGACATGTATCTATTTACCATTTTAATAAACTTGTTTACTTTGTTATAATAATATGTAGATGCATGAATTTTGCAAAATATTAATCTTGTGCCCCATTTTGTATAAATATCTATAAATTTATCATATAATAAAATATTGATTATTTAGGACAACTTTTTCACGGTATTTATCGTTCTAATCGCAAAGGATTAAAATTTATATTTATTTCAAATTAACGTTTTCAGTAACCATTATTTAATATTTTTAGTTTAGAAAAATTCGTGTGCACATTACTGTTTGTAATAATAAAAGTAAAATATCTTTTTTATAAAGATGTATAAATTATATTTCCAGAAACTGAAGGTGTTATGATGATGATTAATGGAGAAATGATAAAGGTTGAACAACTGCGTAGAGAAGAAATAATAAATTGTACCTGTGGATTTATGGAAGAAGATGGTTTAATGATACAGTGCGACCTTTGTTTATGTTGGCAACACGGGCATTGTAACGCAATAGAAAGAGAAAAAGATGTACCCGAAAAATATGTTTGTTATATTTGTCAGAATCCATATCGACAACGGCCATCTAAAAAGTATTTCCATGATCAAGATTGGGTGAAGGAGGGAAAACTGCCAATGTTATCTGATCGAACCAAAAATCAGTATCGAATAAATAAGAGGACGGCTATGTTGAAACGTTCTTATGATTTAGTCGCATCCCTCTTACAAATACAGCAAGTTTTACATAGTTTAAGAGTAAAAATTAATGTAGCTCAGTAAGTACTGTCGTACTAATGATCTTCTAAATAAATCATGAGAAGTAAGATCGTTATTCAAAAGAAACATTTTTTATAGAAAAAAGGATCATCCAAAATTGTACCTTTGGGCAAAAAATTGGGAAAAAGTGGAAGTACCGAAACCAGATATAACACCAGTACCAATAATGGAAGTTACCAAATCAGGAAATGATGATTCAGATAGTACAATTGAACCGTCTCGTCGAGTTGAAGTGAAGACAGAAATAAAGTTTACTTTAAAGGATAATCATGATGAAAAATTAATAGCTTCAGATTCAGAGTTGATGAAAATTTTAGAGGAAGATAATCCAACTTCGGACGATTCCAAAGTTTCGTGTAAGAAAGAAGATCTGACAAATGAAAATAAAAGTCATATTCTTCTTGATGCACTCACGAAAAGTGCTGCTGCTGAAGAAAAGTATAAAAATTCAGCGACTTCGGAAATAAAAACGGATACAGGTAAAATATAATATATATTTAGGTTTTTTAATGAAGATGAAAATAATAATTTAATTCTTTTATGCATAGATTTATTAAATAATCAAAATATTGTATCAGAAAATGATATACCTATACCAGCTGCTTCAGAAAACAGTATGCATGAGGAATTGAATAAACATGAAACATCGACGCCGATACAGCCTTTTATTCCACAACCAGAAGCACCAATTGATCCAGGGGAGTGCCGAATGCGATTGTTAGAACATATTGAACATTTTCAAAATCATATAGACGCAAGATTAACATTTATTGAGGCACAAGTTTGTGGTATGTAAATTCTATTCTTTGTACACTAGTTGTGTTACAAACCAAAATGTCTAATATTCAATACATGATTTTATAGCATTAGAAGCTATGGATCCTGAAGATGTATCATCTAGTCCAGATATTCAACCACGAACAAAACAAACAGTTCAAATGCTGCTTCGAGATTTAAATACAGTGCGAAAGTTAGCTGCTCTATGTTAAATAAAAATTATGTTCTTATAGAATATAATTTTTCCTGATTTTAGTTAATCTCTTCAATTGTTATGTAACAAATGCACATTGTTCCATAACATTGAATATACTGATAGCAATAATTTATTACTGTACCATAAAATGTATGTACAGTCATGATCGAACAGATTATTTATATTATATTAGTATTATTCTTTCAAAATTTCGTATTCTTTTTATATAAATATGTAATATGTATTGTCCTTCATGTAAATACAAAGCAAAGTATAATGTAATATAATGAATGTATTGTATTTGTAATATATATTTATTTACTAAAATAAAAATCTAAAGATCTTTATTTAAATATATGTATTTTATATATATGCAACTTAAATATCGTGGATTGTATTTTTAAATGTACATTTGAAATTACCACAGTAAATATTATTTTTGAAATAATTCATACATATTATAGACAGATAAATTTTGTATATACATTTATAAATTTGTACAATGAAACTTTGTTATATAGCTCTGAAATTTATAATGAACCATATAAGTGCAACTTTATTCTATGCAACAATTGACTGTCAATTTTACCGCCATTGTTATAGCTCGTGAATTTCAAATTCCAAAATTTAAAAGTTTTTAATTCCTAAATGTATAAAGTTCAAGTTAGACAAATTCTAAGTTTTTCAAAATTTGAAGCCTGTAAAAATTTTCAGATTAAAAAATTTTAATTCAAAAAAACATTGTCAGCCTTTAAAATTGCGGCGATTTGTGGATGTCAATGGTGGGGATGCACTATTAGTGTGTGTCAAAGTTCGTGTAAAGTGACTTGCTGAACGTGCCATATAAACGGGAGCCATATAACAAGATTGCACTGCAATTGAAGAATGCCGTACCGAAGAAACGGTAAAACCCTCTTTTATTTTATGGTCGATTTAATTATTTGTTAAAATCAAAAAGAAAAATATTCGCCGCCATCACAGTTCAACATGGTGATGACGTCAAAGAAGTTAGCGGTTTACAATCGCGGAGCGAACGAAAAACAAAGACGGTAAAAATATTTATCTGCATAAAGAAGAGAGAACAGAAAAGTATGTGTGCGCACGCCTAAAGAACGAAGAAGATAGTACCGACAGTGGCAAAGGATGGGGAATAGAGGCGTGCAATAAGCAGTACGACAGGACGTAGAACGGCTGTTGCCGTGGTGTTTGGGCTCGGCTCGATTGTGTTGCATCCGTTATGACGATACGATAATCCAGCGCTCGGCGCTGTGACCGTGTAATACGTTGTTCGTGATTGCGTGTTACTAATGTTTATATTTTATTCAAAATTTAAGACAAATGTGACGGAGGTGTATTGTTTTGAAATCTGATTGGTACACTGATCTTTTCAGTTGATCGTTTATAGTTCTTTTAATACGCCATGTGCCATTGCTTCGTGTACGTTGCCTTTTTCCTCATTGGATACGCAGGTTAAATTTCTATCAAAGTATCTTTTTAAATTAGGTTGTTGGGGGATTATTACTCGTGTCAAGATATCATTAGTGATTCAATGTTCGGTGTGGTGTAAAAGTGGAAAAAAAAAGGTACACGTTTTTCTTCCTTCAGTCTTGCATATTATTCAGCTTGATCGTAAGTCAAAAGGAGAGTAATAACCGGACGAATTGGAAAGAAGATAGACAACGGATTTGGTGAGCTTGAGTAAAGAAGATAACGCGACGAACACAAGTGGCGTATCAAGATGGCGCATAATTTGGCACCGAGCGTCAACTGTTCACTGGACGACATTGATCTGAATGCTTTAAAGGTACACAAATGGTTAAAATGTATTTGCTGCATTTAATTTAATATATATAAATTTTATATTTTGAGCATTTGGTGCCTTTAATTGGGAACATTCCTTGTACGTTTGGGATACATGTAACGATCAGTAATTAACCTCGTAGGGATATACGATGACTATTTCTTCTCGGTAATGCGACAATGGAAAGAGTGGGGAAACTTTCCTTGAATTTTCTGTTCGTAGTATAATTTCAAATAAGACCAGAAAAAACTATCGCCGAAAACTTTGATTAGTTTTAGAATAATTTATACGAATGATTTACGTTCTTTGACAGTTAATGACGCGAATAGAAATAGCATGCAACTTCTACTTAAAATATTCTTTATGCAGATAGGATCAAGTTGATGCATTTTTTTGAACTTAAATAACTTTTGATAAATAAATATTAGTGGATCAATTTTTAGGCTCAGTTTCTTAACAATTGATGATATTAAAAACTGTTTAAATTTTATATACAATTGAAAATTATAAATATTTCTTCAAAAAATGCAATTTGCATCATTTCACTCCCATAGGTGGGGTGCAATGATTTACAGATAAGATCATAGTAGTATAGGCTGAAACACATTGATATCATATCATTCATTTTTTCTTTTCTCTTATTAGATCAATTCAATATTAAACTTAATAAGAGTTTATTATAGTTGAATTATTAATGAAAAAAATGTATAGGTTTCTTATAGTAATATTCTTATGCAAATGTACTTTTATTTATATTTTACTTTCATATTCTATATCTTTTACAAAAATTGTTATAACTGATGAATTGTTTAACTCATGATTTCATTTATTACTACCTCTGTAGATAATGTAATAAAAATATTACTTCAAAAGATCTTAGTCAGGAAATTGTTATTGACATAGTATTGCTTCTAGTTTATTTATTTGTTGGAGGAGGTCATATTCTGTAAGGTCAACATTAATGTTTTTCAATGCACTACTATAAAGTAGCAATGATGATGTTATACTTGTTTTCAGATTTTCTTACAAATAGTGTGTGTCAAATTATTTCTAATATTATTTTAATGTTATAAAGTCTTTTACAAACACCTGTTTAATAAATTCAAAGTAACAAAATATAATATTTTGTGTGATGTTTTGTTATGTCATTTTGTTATGTTTAATTTCATATCATTGTGTGAATTTGATACCCAGAAATGAATTAATTTGTGGTCTTGACAGATAGATTAATGTTTATTTGACAAAGTACGAAATTTTGAACTCTTGAAAAATATGCTCTTCTCTATTTCTCTTATCAATCATACCAATTGAAAAACATTAACTTAAAAGTATGCTATGTTAAAAAAAAATACATATTTGAAGAAGTAATATTTGATATATAATTCTTAGGAATTCTGACTAAAGTTAGTTGTGTCACTGATTAGTATAGTGTCAAAATTACTATAGTTTACTTTAATTATTAGTATCTTGAATGTCATAATTATCAGATTCAAAGACTATTGATATTTTAATGTTGTAGGAACCAGCAGGTATCTTCGAATTGATTGAAGTAGTTGGAAATGGAACCTATGGACAAGTTTACAAAGTAAGTGCATGTTATCAATCATAATATAACATTAATGAAAAAATATACAGTTTAATAAATTACAAAGTATATTAACACATTGACTGCTAGGTTATCCATACATGAGTCACAGATGAATTTCTGTTGAAATGCATCATCCCATATTTGTAAAAATTATTTTACTCACTTAACTAATGATAGTAGCATGTAGTATTTGAAATTACAGATAATAGAAATACTGCGAAACTGATGGATAAGATTATTAATGTATTAAAGTTAATGTGTCAAGGATAAGTAAATTTTTGAGGTATTTAGAATAAATTAATAAAGTAAAGTGTTCTCAGTCATGAAAATTTGTGTTGTTTCTAATAGCATCATTTAACTTGGTTTTAAATAATCTGTTATCTGAAACAGGATAATGGCTATGCACTTTATTATTTTTTTATTTGAATTTATAATCCTATATTAATAATTTATTATATTAATGAATGGGTAGGGTTTTAAACGTAAAACTTTATTAAACATTAAACTATCTTATATAAATGTTTATGGATAATAATTTTTTTATTACTTTACAGGGTCGTCACACCAAAACTGGTCAGTTGGCAGCCATCAAAGTTATGGACGTCACAGAAGTAAGTATTTGCATTAATATGTAATTACAGATCTCAACATGTAATTAATTTTCATATTTAACTAGCTGCAATGAATATGACATCAGATAATCATTTCAGTTACTTTTTATGTACTGATATTACTCTTAACACATAATTTGAATCACTTAGTTGAAGTCTTAGATGTGCTATGTCTGAGGAGATTGTACATGTGGGTTCAACATGATAGGGCTTTATCAGATCATTCAGTTATTTAATATCAGTTAGTTCTTATCTTTATCTCTTATTTATATTAAGTAGAACACTTGAGCTTTCTGAATATCTTCAGTTTTGTGATAACTGGTACAGTAACTATGTAAATACAACTTAAGTTCCTGGGTGATCTTTTGCTATTAAATATAACTACTGTGTCATCAATTTATCATCTGTAATAAAATGCAATTGATTATTTCTATCAGATATTTTGTATGAAGTTGGTTGAAACCAGAATGCAAGGGTTATTACAACTGTAATGTTTTTTTATGAATAAAAGTACAAATAAATTTGGACTTCACAAAATTAGATATAACTTAGAGTACCAAATATTATTAATTATTATTTATTTCAGGATGAAGAAGAAGAAATCAAGTTAGAAATAAACGTGTTAAAAAGGGTAAGTACTTAAATTATCAATGATGTATCAATATACTATTTAAGACAAATACTAAAATTACGTTTATATCGTGTTATAGTATTCGAATCACAGAAATATAGCAACGTATTACGGTGCCTTCGTAAAGAAGTCATCACCAGGAAAAGATGATCAGTTATGGTTGGTTATGGAGTACTGCGGAGCTGGCTCCGTTACGGATCTTGTCAAATCGACGAAGGGCCAGAGTTTAAAGGAGGAATGGATTGCTTATATATCACGAGAAATATTAAGAGGACTTAGTTATCTTCACAGCAATAAAGTTATACACAGGGATATTAAAGGACAAAATGTTCTGTTAACCGACAATGCGGAAGTTAAGCTTGGTACGTTTATCCGTTCTAACGAGCTTTCATCTTTATCATATCATCGTGTGTCATATCGATCACTTGTTGTCCTACAAATTAAATTTTATGCATTGCAGTTGATTTTGGCGTTAGCGCGCAATTAGATCGGACAATAGGTAGAAGAAATACATTTATTGGAACGCCATATTGGATGGCTCCGGAAGTAATAGCCTGTGATGAAAATCCGGATGCTACGTATGATAACCGAAGTGACCTATGGTCACTCGGTATTACTGCTTTAGAAATGGCTGAATCGCAACCTCCGCTTTGCGATCTTCATCCGATGCGAGTAAGTAAACGTAGCTCTAAAAATTACTATTTTATTTTATATTACTATTACTAAGACACAAGGATGAAATTTAATTTGGTGATTATACTTAATTCACATAAAAGGCTTTATTTCTGATACCACGTAATCCACCACCAAGACTCAAATCGAAAAAGTGGGCGAAGAAATTCCATGGTTTTATTGAAACGGTTTTAGTCAAAGATTATCATCAGCGGCCTTATACAGAGCAGCTCCTTAAACATCCTTTTATTCGGGACCAACCAACTGAAAGACAAGTTAGGATACAACTTAAAGATCATATCGATCGCTGTAAAAAGCGTAAACAAGAGAAAGGTATAAAAATTACAAAAATGATGTCACGGTTAATTTACAAGCAGGTGTTTACTTTGTATTGCTTGTTTTTATAGAAAGAGATGATTATCGCTATAGTGGTAGTGAAAATGAAGAAGACGAACCAGCACTGGCTGGTGAACCGTCATCAATTGTTCAGGCACCAGGTGGTGATACATTACGTAGGAATTTCCAACAAATTCAAGAAGGTAGAACTTTAACTCAAGAAGTAGCCCCTCAACCACCTGCTGCTAAAGAAAAGCCAAGTGGCAGATCTCAGAGGGATATACCAGAACCAGGACCACCTGCACGACCTGCCATTCCTCATAGATTGATCGGTGTGTTTTATAGTGTATTAATATAGTGGAGTCTTGCTACAAGGGTGGAGAGTAATCTAAAAGTAGATAAAAATTGAAAAATGTTAAAATCATATAGTGAACCATGTAGCAAGGCTCGATCGTAATTAAAGTTGTTTTAATTACAATACCACGTGCTATATCTTTAAAATTGTACATAATTGTTTTTGCGTTATATAGTAGTTCCAGATCCACAACCACCATCTCGGCCACTACCTCCGACACCTAGAGATGATCCCCGACAACCGCACAAAGTTTCTACCCCACCTTCCAACCATCAACCACTAATTTCCGGCGGTGGTAGCGGCGGTTCTGGTGGTCAAGCCGCATCTCAAAGAAATAGTCATGTCTTCAAACCTATGGTAAGTTTTCTCGGTTCGATTCGTAGAACTTGTCTCTTCTTGGATATTGTAACTCATTTTGCGACATTTACTTTACGCCAATAAGAACTAATAAACGTAGTCTAAAACTACTCTGGTTTATGAAAACTGTAGAAAGGCACATGCTATTTTTTATTCTACTTTGCCGACTTGCTGTCTCACAGCAACCCTAGTGTACTTTTTTTTTCCCTTTTTGTATAGTACATTTTTATTACGTGTATGTGGTTATGTCTCCTTTTCACTATCTTGTTATAATCGAACAAGGGTATTTGACATTTTTTGTCATTTGCACGCGGATATCTCCTTTATTTTGCTATCATATTCAGTGGCGTGCACGCAAACACAGCCGCACATTTATTTTTTAGTGCGCGCGCACTCAAATTGCATCTTTGGACACGACATGACACGACATACAAAAACACGCACACACCGATACAGACAAATACATGAACCAAAGGGCGGGAGGGAGGGACGTGTGCGCGCGCGCCTTGTACTCAAATTTGGAATTATTGGGCTTTTGTTTTTTTCCATGTGTACATGTACCGTAGCTGCCACCAAGGAAGCCAGAGGTAAGAACACATACACATAATTTATTCTTTACATATTACATATACATACAGTTACACTTGTCTTTGTTGTCTACACTTGACATCGTCAATGTCAATATGCAATCTGTAAAACAATCAGAAGCATTCTTTGATAACGTAGATATTGTTTCTTTCATTTTCACGCAAAATACTGTTTTAAACCTTCATTTTTTTTTAATAAGTTTACACATTTTTGTCTCGTTTATGTCTTATTGCTGCAAAATTATGTAGAACGCTTTTGTCAAATTGTCTGAATGTACGCTTTTGTTGGAAGAATCTTGCAATAGATGTGTAGACACAACACATCTGTTAATCCTTTTGTTATGGTGAAGCTTGTTACCAGAATGTTGCTGCTGTATGATACAATTCATCTGCAAGTCTGCATTTTGCCGCAGAATGTAATACCTGTTCCTTTATCAAAATAATAATGCAGGACAAATAAGAAGCAATTTTTTCAGAATAAATTTTGAAATAAGACGTTAAAGAATTATCTTGTTACTGGTTCTCATATTGTTATGTGTGCACTTGTTAAATAATTAAGAAATAAATATGTTATTCTGGAGATATCAAATTTCATCATACTTAACCGTAGCTGCTACTTAATGTAAAATTTTTACAAATTACCATAATTATTTTTAGCGATGAAAGGGTTAATTGTGTTGTGTAGAAATCTTACCATCAATGTTCTTAACAATATTGTGCTCGTCCATTTTTCTACAGCAATGGTAAAATTGAAGATATTTGCAGTAGCATGCATAAAATGCTTAAGAACAGTATTTTGCATCTTACCTGCCACTTTACTTGAGCTTTGCTTGTTTATCCGGTGGTGGCGGCTTTTAGAAATATTGTCGGAGGTGTTTTGACACAGTGACTAACGGGGTTGTGTGTGTGTGCGTGTGGGTGGTAGGACTTGGACATGCTAGCTGCTCAACTCAACGAGCTTGGTGTGTCACAGGGCCCAGAGGCCCCGCCACGGCCGAACAGGCAACATAAGGGCCCTGCTGCTTCGTCAACATCAAATTTGGTTCAGCCCGCAAGCAGCAATGATCAAAACAGCAAACAAATGCCACAGTCTTCCAGTATTCTTGATCAAGTGAGTGTCAAGGTTTTTCTAACGGTGGTGGGAATTATGTGATGTTATACACAGTGCAGTCTCGTTATATGATCCTTCTTTTCATATTAAAAATACTGAAAATATATTGTAATTAAGTTAGAATGTGTATAACAGTTTTTATTTTTATTTTAGGCGTTATCTGTTGAGAGTGATAGCGATGACGATCTTGAAGATGTAGGCGGAAATAATGCGAGGAACGACGGTACTCTACTCGCTAGTGATCCACCTAAGCCTTTGTGAGTAGCATAATTTGTTTGTTAACTGTTTGTTGACGTCTGTAGCAGTATATCGTATTTTTATGTCACCAAATCATGTCAGACCGTTTATGTTTCAAAATCAGTCATTTGATATGCAACAGTATAGTAGAACTATTGTGAAATATTAGATATAATTGTTTCTTTTTTAGAGTTCATTTTTCTTAACATTTTCACAAAGTATCTGGGCTAAACAAAAAATAGGAGTCTGGGAGTTTTCGCTTCTGACGAGGGATAAAAATGGACTTCAAATGTACACAAAATTGTTGAGAAATGTTTCATTGTTAGAAAGGCACAGAATATTGTATTTTGTTGTTTCTAACGTTATTTTTTGCGTACACTTATGACTCAAACTTTACTAATGCTGTTTCGTTTCATTTTTCATTACGCTTCAACATGGTGCTTCGTATCGCCGTCATCGTCACCACGTAACGTACACCACGCATTCCATGTTCTTCGTGCGCCATCATCTTTCTCTTCGTTTTTATGTTCCTTGCTGCAGACCCGAATTTTCTCCTTTCAGACCGTCTACAGATCCATCGTCAACATCATCGCACAATGCTCAGAATTCTCATCTTGAAGGTAAGCCGAAAGGTAGGATATTTAACAAACATCTTTCAACTCTTTTTATATACCAACACCATGCTGAAGTTTCCATCGTTTGTCTACACAATGGAAACTTTTGTATATACTTAATAAATACTTATTTTGTGCAATGTTAACAAAAACATTTGTTACATGTATTTTTATTAAAATATGCAGTTCTATTTGAAATTTTTTATGCATATAAAAATAATGAGATTGTTATGATGGACATTTTTTTAAATGTTAAAAATTATTTTTGCTAAGAAGTAAATGTTTATTAAGGATATGAGTAATTATGAATTGAAAGGAATCGATTTTAAACATAAATTTTGTATGTGTGCAGGTGGAGCACCAAATCGACCACTTCCGCCTACGCCAGATGAGGAGGAGTCAGGAGACCGTACATTAGTAATGAAACGAGTAAGTAGATTATACAAGCACGTAATGCAAGCTAATGTCCATTTTTTTAGCCGTATTGTCGTTTTCGTGTGCCATGTGAGATTTATCGAGATGTATTAATAATAATAATAATGTCGATCGATATTTTCGTAACCGAATGAATGTATCTCTTACATTCTTTTTATTGCATCGTTTAATCACGCCTTGACAAAAACAGTCGATATATACATACACACATTTTATTTTATTCTTCACGTTTTCAAAATACTCTTTTGCTATTTTTTTTCAATCAGTCACAGTTAACTTTAATTACAGACCGTAGAAAAGGAAAAGAAAGTATATACAAGCGATTGTATCGTATCCTCGTTCCCTTTGTTTATGTATCTATTTGTGTGTTCATTGATATTCTGTAATAAGTCAGAAATATTTGTTCACCGGTATCTTTAATTCGTCCCAAGAATTCTTGTAATTGAATCTCTTGTACAGTTCCGATGCACTTGTGGTGCGTTATACGTACATTGCATTGCTGCGGTGGTGAACATTTCATGAAAGAATTGAATAAAAATTCAATTAATTCATGTCTTAAATATTCTACTCTTTCTTCAAAGATAATTGTGATTTTTGGTGATAGTTAGCGATGTGCGGATACTTGTAACGTCTTTGAGTCGAGTCCGGAGAAGTCGGATGGGTTCGGGTGATTGCTGATGTACGAATATTCAGATAGAAAATATATATTAAATACAATTTTCGCAATTTCTACATGTATAAATTTGAAATTTGTACACTTAATGTTCATGAAAATCATCTTGAGACTACTGTCTTTACTTGCTCGAGTATATCCGACAGTCTCCGACTAGATTCACTCTGTGGTACTTGATGTTCCTAAGTATAAACGCACGTTTCTAAACACAGTGTTAAGCTTGTTCAATCGACGAGATGTATATTATCACCACCGTTGCAAGTAATTGATTATACCATTCACTTGAATCATTGCATTGCACTGCCATCGCAGCTATATCATGTTATGTATCGCCGCACGCAATTTCTTTATCTCTCCTTTATTTGTGTATGTTTTTATTTCTGTCGTCATCATGTTTATTACCCTCGTGCGCACTCCCTAGAAACTTAGTCAGATGTCAGACGATCGAGCCACGACGGCTAGCAACAACCGGTGTTCCGAGGCAGACGAGCAGCTCCTCCTGAAGGAGTGGGATTTCACCCGCTTCTTTCAGGGTTTTAACGATAGATTGGATAAAATGAAACAAGACCATTCGCAAGAGCCAACGGATACGAACCATCAGTCGAATAACGAGGATCACTCGTCGTCGTCCTCGGAGAAAACGTTAAAAGCGCAGGAACAGTTGTCGCGTAGAAAGTACGATAATCATCCTCAGCAACAGCAGCATCACCAAAAGCAACAACAACAGTTGAAGGCGGTACACAGAAGACAGGAGAGCGATTCGAAGCTCGGCAACACGTCCAGCGCGTTCGCGCGTGCCTTTCGTCGCGAGAATTCAGACTTTTTCCCGTCGACGAGGCACTCTGCGTACTTGCAGAAGTCCGATTTTTCGCGATCGAGCATATTCTCGAGCGGTAATCGGCGTGGGAGTGAGATAAGCGTTGCCGGTATCGTGGGTAAAAAGGGTACCTCTGTAAGTACCGGTGAACCGGTGCTAACAGACTTTTCGTTCGGTCGTGATGGCCTACAAAGGCCCCGAAGGGAAAAGACCGAAAGCGAGATCGTTTTCGGTAGTAAACACGAGGGCAGAAGGTTCGACTTTGGACGTGAGAAAGATGGCACTATGAGAAGACGCAGTTGTAGACCATCAGACGCGGTTTCGGCCGCGATCGACGAAGCAGGAACTATTAAATCTACGGCCAGTACAACGGCTAGCGAATACAGCCCCATTGTAATCCAGGTCAGTCCCCCCTACAAAGCCCTGCCTGTGTGCTTGCCTGAAAGACACCTTAACCGCATCACCTGTTTTTTTTATCTCTACCTTCGGTTTCTGGTTCCCCTTTTTGTGGATTTTCGAAGTTTCAGTTCGAAAATATTTACCTATCCTATATGTCTGTCGATATTTCGCACTTTTTTCTGATACTGTTCTTTTCATTTCAGATTTTGTGGTGTTGAACGTACAGGGTGTTTACCAGGGAGTGCCAAAAATGATTTTGTGATATAAGAAATGTACAGGCTTAAAAAGTTGTCGTTGGATTTCGAGATAACAGGTGTAAAAGACTAATTGTTTCGTAGTCTAGCTCTACATGTTTTAAGACAGTAATAAACAAATGAGTTCACAGAAATGAGATTAGAGAAATACAACATGTGGTCATAGACATCAATAAGTATTCTACAACGTCATAGTTGTCTAGTTTTCACAAATAGAAAGATCGATGTCTTTCGATCAACGTCTGTGTTGTTATTTGTTGATAAAATAATGATTTAAAAAAATATACAAGAGATTATTAGTGCGTTCGTATTTTCTAAAGGTTCAGTTATCGCGTTTCGAATTTAATATTCTAAAACATTCACTGACCGACTCAAAGTTTTACACCTGTAAATCTAGACTCCAGGTTAACAACTTTTTTCCTCTGTAAATCATTTCTTTGCGCTCCATTGAACGCTTAAATATTCAGATATTTGAATATATTTGAAAGTGGCAGCATTTATCTGTCTCGGATAACGAAGAAATTCTTGTCTAATTGAATAACATTAAATGTAAAATCTGCTATAGGCTAATTTTTAGGGTGCTACTTGGGCCTTGTAAACGCATAAACCCACAAACGCTTGGTTTAACACAGCTATAGCATGGCTAGCATCTTAAGACTAGGCTATGATGGATTCTACATTTAATAATCTATGAAGTTAATATTAGACATCAATTTCTACCTTATTCTAGAGAAGTATTTAATAAAATCATTGTTTTAGAGTTTTTCTGTTTGTGTCCAGTCTGTTGTTACAGCATTATAGTAAAAATTATAATACACAGGGTATATCAATAAGAAATTCCATTAAAAATGGTACTTTTAATTAATGTTTTTTTCAAAAGATATTAGACAAAATATATTTTATTCGAAAGGTCTCATTCAACAGAAGAATCTTGTTTCTTCAGTGTTTCGCATTTACTAAGATGTTAACTTTGAATTTTTTTAATAGCAATATGTTTTTCTTTTACGTAAAGAAAATTAATTAAGAATATCAGTGTAACCATTAATCTGTGTCAAGTTAGGATCAATGGAGCTATTTTTTTAAATGAATTTTCTTTATATTTTGATGTTCAAGTCAACGTCAGGTTCACTTCAGGATCCTTCAAGATTATTTTCTAATGGAATTTCTTATTGTCCCATGCGTTATTATAGTTTATTCTAATATTACAATAAAATGGTATTACTATGAAAAAATTGAAAGAGGAAATAGATCAATTTCTTTTTATTTGGATATGAAAGCGTTCAAGGTAAACATCCTGTACAAATAATTTCAGTTATTTTATAATTTTATCTTTTGTTCTGCAATAAAGGTTTCATTAATCTGTATGCATCTTTATTTGAATTTATAGAAATTTATTTAATATTGAGTTATTGTACAAGAAATATTGACAGACATATTTCTAACTTGAACCTTTACATTCATTTCTCCGATGTTTAACCATGTATAATAATCGATATAGCAAGCTAGTCAGCTACGCTTGACTTTTTTAGGCGCATTATCCTATTATTCCTTCCTCTGTCTTTATTTTTGATATTTTCTTTCAGATTTACAGATATCAGTAGGATAAATAATCATTAACATTATCAATATTATTCTATCATCAGTATTACTATATTTACCTCCTGTACTATTTTTTAACTAGATTCGTTCGTTCGAACCAATGGCCCATGAACCTCTATGGAGTTACATTAATTAGAATATTAATAACATTTATATATACATACATATATATTTATATATTTTTTGGTACAATGGATCTAATGTCATATGATTACTAATGCTAAATAGTGTTTACTAATAGTATTGTTACCAACCTAGGACGAGGACATTTTTCACGTTATTAATAATACTTCTCTTCCTTGCTTCTAGTTTTATTGTTTGTTGCATTGAGATTTCATTGAAGTTTAATGAATTTTTTATTGGGTAGCATTTACAAGCGACTTAATCAATCGTTCAATCTTCGTTGCATATTAATAAACCTTGAAGCTATTGATAAACTATTGATAATGCAGGCTTTCTGTACTTACTGTTTACTGTTTCTTTTACGGAGTTCTGCGTTTAATCCTTTGTCTAATTCTATACCTGACTGTACCTGATTTACTTTGTGCTCATGATGTTAACATTTGTCCTTACTAAACAAACCATTTGTAAGATGCGCGTGATCTTATATTGCATAAGAAAAACATATATAAAGGACGGATCCAGAAGTTTTGAAAATATTTTATGTAAGCATATGTCCATGCGTTACCCACGTGTTATAACTAAAGCATATTGTACTGACACAAACAATTTTATAACACAAATAAATTTTTGTAAAACTTCATAACTCTTAGAAAGGGACGTTTTCTGGATCCGTCACTATATTGTATTTTTACGAAAAATTATATTTACGACTTCCAATTCGTCCGTCAATTATGTTATAGACAAAATTATAGACTTTTTAATTGACCAAGAAATTGTAAATGTGCAGTTTATAAACAATTGTAAATGCATTACAAATTATAGTGGGTGGGGGTTAATGCGGTATATTGCATTCGAAGGGTTAATCTACGGAAAATATTCCTGTTAACATCGTTTTAATGCTACCATATAACTGCTGCTAGCGTTGCTGTTGACGATACTACTATTACTAACTATTGTCACTAATCGTAGTAGTTACTCGCTGTTAAGAAATTAGGAGCATTACGTGGGTCCACAGTTCTATATTATATTCACTGAAGTATACAGACAAGGTTCATAAATTAACGTCGGAATTGATGAGGATAATATTTTATGGAATGTTTCACTAATTTCGTACAGAAGTATTTGTTGAAAAATGTAATTCTTTGTAATAAGAAAATATTCTTTATTTAAAATTTATATCATGTGCAGTCAAATATTTTATTAGGAATATAATTTCATATATAAATTATGAGGTACTTGTAGTTTCAATTTTTTTAATTGGCTATAGTTTAACTATTATTGAATTGACAGATTCATTGCAATAGTAATAAGAGTAATAAGAGGTAATAAGATTGAATTCTCAAATGTACATTTTAAACATTGTTATATATAAGGTGTTTCACATTTCAGGGACTTACACTAGTTGTGAGATACCCTGTATATACAAATTTTTATCACTAACAATTTTTCTCACAAGTCAATCTTTTTCTATTTAATATAACAAAAGCAAAATAAAGTAGCAAATTATCTTTTATAGATTCTAAAAACATTTAAAGACGAAATTAGCGAAGCAAGATTAGTATGTATGTATTTTATCGAACGTAACTTTGCAGGACTAAAATACCATTATTATTACCACTACTGCTACTGCTACTATTCTTCTCAAATTCATGTGTTCAATATTACAAATACGAAAGCTTGTTTCTACAACGATTTTTTATCACGACCCAAGTCTAATAAGGAAGGAATAACCGCATGGAATTTCTTTGAAGATATTCATCTTGTTTCTACGATACCGTGTGGACAAGCTGGCAATTGTTACCAGTGCCTAACTATAATTCTACGATCATCGAAACGCCGCGGGATTCGATAGTGAAGCAGTTAAAACTTGTCTGTAAATTTTCACTTGTTACGAATCTCTACGCAGATTCGATTTTAATATTTTTTTTGCTTTTTAATGCGAATAAAAATGTTAGCTTAGCAACTAAATTCTCGATTTTCAATCTTTTTGTTGCAAAATTAATTATAGAATAATTATATCATTTGTATTAATTATATTTTTTAAATTTATTCAATGTATATGGTGATAAAGTAGATGGAGAATTTATTTGCTAATCTAACAGAATTTTATTTGTCAGATGGCCTCAAAATAACTTCATCTGTGATACATTTCTGCGTAAGACATTGTGATGTTAAAGTAACTGATACCAAAAATTCGCTTTGAAACTAACACTTAACAAACATTTTGTACATGCTTTCGTCTGTGAATTAATCACTTTCATCTTTAATGTATATTCACTCATAATGTACATTCACTTTAGAAAATAGTTTACTCTTTTTATATAAACATTTTTCGTGGATTAATTTTTGATATTGTTATTTATTGCGTTTGTAAAAAAAGAATTTTTCAACGCGGTGATAAAATAGTTTTAATCGATCAAAGTTACAGTAACTGTACAACCCCTGTATCCGCCATTTTATTCACCCTTGGTTCTACGTATAATTTGCTCACAGTATTCATACATCTGAAAAAGTTAAATTGAATATTTTTTATAAGAAAATAATACGTCCAACAATTACAGTAATTATTGCAATATATTAAGGTTCATTATTTTTTTAAATATCCATAGATTTTGGACTACCGCGTATACAGGGGTTTTACTGTATTCACAATTTACAAATACATTTCATACATTACAAATTGTTAGAAAATTTTGATGACAGTAAATAAATTCTTGTTTCAAACCTGCATGTATACTAAAATTAAAAATTGGGAAGCTTTTGGTATTCATCGATGTTACGATAACACATTGATTCGAGAGCCCTGTACTGCATGTTCATGCAAGAATCTAAATACAAAGAAGCATTAAACAAAGGGGATATCTCGAAAGATTTTCCAATGAATCAGTAAATCATTTTGATCAGGTAGCGCCTTGAAAGGGGCAAAACTAATGATGCGGACTTTGTATGCGTGTGTTTTGCGTTTAACACTTTTTCCTTTTTTTTTCAATATTTTGTGCTTGGAAATTGCACGATCGTGAATCAAGA